ACACACACACACACACACACACACACACACACACATATATATATATATATATATATATATATATATATATATATATATATATATATATATATATATACATATATATATATATGTATATATATATGTACGTATGTATGTATATATATATATATATAAATATATATATATAATGTAAATATGTATGTAAGTATTTATATATGTATGTATGAATGTATGTATGTATTTATATATGTATGTATTTATATATGTATGTATGTATGTGTGTATGTGTGTAAGTATGTATGTATGTATATATGTATAAAATCTGTCAATATCTGTGGTACTATACCAATATAGGTGCACATTCGGGCATATTGACGTTGGCTATGATACTGTAGTCATTTACATTCGTTTTTATTTCTTCATCTGGATATTTGCATTGGTATGTATCTCGTTGCAAACTATAAACAGTTGTACTATCTCTTTACACGTGGATAACGACACACATATATTGGTTGTAAGTTGTCATTTCGCGTATCTTGGTCACACGCTTCGCTCGCATCAAAGTGCGGTCCAATTAAAGCGATGCCTCCGTATGTTACTTATCACACCTGGTTTATATATATATATATATATATAAATATATGTATATATCCTGCATCTACACACAATAGCGTAGAAAGGTGCGTTTGTTTTGCAAACTAACTTAAACATACATTCACACGCAGCGACACGCATACTAACAATGTGTATAAACGTTTACCTACAGGAATATATATACGAGCACACAGAACGCATACAAATGCTACAAATAGATATAGATACATCTACAGAGAACATAATATAAATGATATACAGACCATCTGTAAGTGTGTACATAAGAAATACACACACAATGTAAATATACGAATGTGTACATACACAAGTTTAACCAAGTAGAATGCATTTTTGTGTTGCCTGATTCCTTCTCAGCTGTTGCCCGTGGGTGTGGATCATGTCACAGTTGTGTTGAACGAGATGGAGGCCATCGGAGAAGTTCCCTTCAGTTTCATGTACGCCTCATACGACGGCATGCTCTACAGTGAACCAGCACTGGTCAAAGTACACGTATCATGTGGTGGAGGAATGTATGGTATGTCGTAAAGTATATTATATTATTTATTTATTTATTTATTTATTTATTTATTTGTTTGTGTGCATGTATGTATTATATATATGTA